CTTTGTTTAAAAGACACAGGCGCAGTGGCTCACGTCTATAATCCCAGCAATTTGGGAGCCCGAGGCAGGTGGATCACCTGAGGTCAGGAGCTTAGCCTGGGCAACAAGAACAAAGTCCGTCTCAAAAGAAAAAAAAAAGGAGAAGCTCTGCTCCTTTGCTTTTTTTGTTTTGTTTTGTTTTCGTTTGTTTGTTTTTTGAGACAAGGAGTCTTGCTCTGTTGCCCAGACTGGAGAGCAGTCGTGCGATCTTGGCTCACTGCAACCTCTGCCTCCCTGGTTCAAGCAATTCTCTGCCTCAGCCTCCCGAGCAGCTGGGATTACAGGTGCCCGCCACCACGCCTGGCTAATTGTTGCATTTTTAGTAGAGACGGGGTTTCACCATGTTGGCCAGGCTGGTCTTCAACTCCTGACCTCATGATCCACTTGCCTCTGCCTCCCAAAGTGTTGGGATTACAGGCATGACCCACTGCACCCAGACTGTCCTTTGTTAAAAGACAGTAAATCCAGATGGTTAAGTATTTCACAGGTACAAACAGACCATGTCTTGGGAGATGCTTACATCTTCAGAATCAGAACACATACACAAACCAGAACCCCATGTGGATTCTCTGCATCACCAAAAAAACGCAAAGAGTTACAAGGAGAAAATGCAGAGGCTTGCCGGGCGCGGTGGCTCATGCCTGTAATCCCAGCACTTTGAGAGTGCGAGGCCAGGCAGATCATGAGGTCAAGAGATCGAGACCATCCTGGCTAATACGGTGAAACCCCGTTTCTACTAAAAATACAAAAAATTAGCCGGGTGTGGTGGCATGCACTTGTAGTCCCAGCTACTCGGGGGGGCTGAGGCAGGAGAATGGCGTGAACCCGGGAGGTGGAGTTTGCAGTGAGCCAAGATCGCACCACTGCACTCCAGCCTGGTCACAGGGTGAGACTCTGTCTCCGCAAAAAAAAAAAAAGAAAAGAAAAGAAAATGCAGAGGCTCCATAAATGGATGGTTTCCACAACAAGCACTGACTGAGGGCCTACTGTGTGAAAAGTGGTACAAAGCTGCTAAAGACACAAACACTGGTGGAGGTATCCTTACTCATCTCACATCCTTAGCACGGGGCACAGTAGACAGCAACAACAGTAAACACAAGTCTCTCCTAGAGGGATCACCAGACTTCAGTACATACAGGAGTTGCCTGGGGGAAAGGAGGCTCTCCTAGACAGAGAAGAGTAAGTGAGGCTAAGCAGGGAAGGGCACTCTATCACACAAGGGAGCTGTCAAGGTTCTGGCATCTAAAGGTAAACACTTACAGTACCATCCATATAATTTTAGATGCCTTGCATTCATTTATTTCAGTTCGCACTGAGCACATTGTTTTCACCAAAAATTATTCAAAGTGAATCTATTGTCACGCTCTCCAGTGTGCACAGAAATAAACATCCCTCAGCACACAGAGCACTGCCCTCAGCAAGCTGTTCTGCTCAAATGCTCAAAAAACGTTTGTGGGGGAGGAAGAGGAGGATAGTGAAGTGTCTAACCATTCAAAGGAAGAGTTTCTCTGGAAGTACTTGGACATGAAAAAAACCTACATATTAGCTGGCGGTAAGACCCTCTAATATGTCTCTCAATTAAAACAAAGTGTCCCAGCTTTCCCAATATTCTTCAATCCAACCCTAAAACAAGAGTGACAGGTTTCTGCGTACGGTCGAATGCTTTCCACCACAAAGTTATCAGTACTAATTTTTTCTGAACAGAGAGTTGAAAACAGATTTATTTCACAGACATAAACATAATTTCCTGCTATATGTTCTCTGGATACAGAGCACATGATACTGCCATACTAGCCCAAACTGTCCTATTACAGAAACCAGTGATGTTTTCACTCTGTTCCTTCTACACAAACCAAATCCACTACAGGAAAGCAAAGCTGCGCGTGACTTTCAAGAAAACCTTTTTTTTTTTTTTTTTTAAACTTATTTGGGCTATTGCAGTGTTAAATTTGAAGGAAAAAAGGTATACAGTAATGTAATATAAACCTACTTACTACAAGTCTGAGTAAACAAAACAAATGCGTTATTTAGGGTGTAATACAAGACAAAATCCTCTGAAGGTAATTATTAAAGCTGAAACAAGACAATTTGGGAACAGACTGAATATGAGAGAAACTAAAAAGCAAAAAAGAAAACCAAATACCCCACTCATCCCCTACCATGTTGCCAACATTTTCCAAAATCACTTGCTATGGGCAAGAGACCACAGAACAACTTCTCTTTAATTTTATGGTAACATTTCCAGTTGTAACTGACATTTTGTCTCACAAAGGGACAAATTAATGGAATTAGCAAAAGTTGCAGTGAAAATGTCACTGCTAAAAAGTGACCCCTGGAAAAGAAGTAGCTACCAGAGCTGTGGGACCTGGTGGCCAAAACAGCTTTCAGTGTGACGTATGTTTTCTCCCTGAGTTTTATGAGAAAAACACTTTTCAAAATACTGTCTGGTCCGAGATATACTCAGCAAATTATACTCAGGGAGGGGAAAACACACTGTGCAGATAACCACAACTTAGTATGATGACTAGATGTGGGAGGTGCGCCTCACGAGCTTTTAGGAGGACCTCCCAGAAGAGGGAGAGATGGGACAGTTTCAGAGGCAAACAGGAAAGAGCCCTGTGAGGGGATGAGGGTAAAGAAATGGACTCCATGAAGAAGGGTCGGCGTGCACAAAAGCTGATGCAAGATGTGCTACGTGCTGCTGGCCCACGAGCCGTGAGACACAGAGGAGCAGGAGACACAAGCATGGCCCTGGGGACGACTTTTGTCTACTATGGTAAAGAGCTTAGACTTAATCCTGGAGCATAGTTTTCTAAGATATTATAGGCAAGACAATCTGGTGGGGAAAGGGCATTTTATGTTGTTTTTGTTGCTATTAACTTCTTTTTCCTTTTTTTTTTTTGAGACAGAGTCTTGCTCTGTTGCCCAGGCTGGAGTGCAGTGGGACAATCTCGGCTCACTGCAACCTCCATCTTCTGGGTTAAAGCAATTCTCCTGCCTCAGACTCCCGAGTGGCTGGGATTACAGGCATGTACCGCCACGTCCAACTAATTTTTGTATTTCTTAGTAAAGACGGGGTTTTGCCATGTTGGCCAGGCTGGTCTCGCCAAAGTGCTGGGATTACAGGCAAGAGCCGCCATGCCCAGCCTATGGTTGCAATTAACTTCTACTCATGTCAAATGATATTGGTTTTCCATTTATAATAATAAATGTATTTTCGGCTGGTAGCAGTGGCTCACGCCTGTAATCCCAGCACTTTGGGAGGCCGAGGTGGGCAGTTCACTTAAGGCCAGAAGTTCGAGATCAGCCTGGCCAAAGTAGCAAACAAAATCCCCGTCTGTACTAAAAATTAGCTAGGCATGGAGGTGTGTGCCTGTAATTCCAGCTACTCAGGAGGCTGAGGCACGAGAATAGCTTGAACCCAGGAGATGGAAGTTGCAGTGAGCCAAGATCGCACCACTGCATTCCAGCCTAAACGACAGAGCACAACTCTGTCTTTGGGAAAAAAAAAAAAAAGGTTGTGAAAGTGAGGCTCAAATGACTGATGTTTAGGAGACACGGCTGTAAGAACTGGAGAGCCACTGGAAGAAAGCAAAGAGATACAACTCTGTTATAGAACTCTATCCACACAGACATGTATTGGGTGCTGTGCCAATCACTATTCTAGGCCCAACAGATAGAGCAAAGCCAGATAAATGTATGTTAGGTTTACATTTTAGACAACAAAGAGGATCCAGGTCACAAATAAAATAAACCCAGGTAAAGAGAGAGAATGATATACAACGTAAAATGTGGAGAGCCTTGAGAAAGCAGCAGAAGGGAATGAGCCAGGCCATGACCTACAGGAAGAGCAGGACAGGAGGTGGGAAAAGCTGGAGGCCTGTGGGGCCTATGGGCCTGCTGGAGGGAGCAAGATGGCTGAGGGTTGCAGCAGAGGAGCCAAGGCCAGAGAGGGAACAAAGGGCTGGGCCCTGCAGGGCCTCGCAAGCCAGGACTCGGGCGGTATTCCACATGTGATGGGAGGCCACAAAGAGTTTGGCACAAGAAGGTGATGCTGTCTCTGGAGGATGAGTGCAGAGGCAGGAAGCCCAGGGAGGAGGCCCTCATGGCAGCCCAGAGGAGAGACAACGGTGCCGGGGTAGGCAGTAGTAGGGGAGACAGGAAGAAACAGTGAGAGGCAGTTTGTGGGCAGCGCTGGCTGGATTTACTGATGAACTGGATGTGTAAGGCAAGAGCGGACTCAAGCAGCATTTTTGTTGATATCTCTTACAGCCTAAGCCTGGGAAGAACAGCACTATCACCTAATGAAATGGAGAAGACAGAAGAGCCAACAAGTAGGGAAGATGAGACTCAAGACTGCAGATTTTGACAGGTTGAGTTTAAGATGCCTGTGAGCACCATCACAGGACTCTTGAGCAGAGAGTTGAATAAACCAGTCTAGAATTTAGGGGTGAGGCCAGGATTGGAGCCAATAGCATTGGGTGGTATTTAAAGTCTTGGGACTGAATGAGAATGCAGGAGAGAAAAGGCCCAAGCATTAACCCCAGAGGCACTTCAACATCTCCAGTGGGAAGGTAAAGAGCTTGGACTTAGTCCTGAAGTGTAGTTTTCTGAGATATCGTAGCCAAGATAATTTGGGTGATAATGTCAGTTTTATTAGTTACGTGTTTACTTTTACAGACAAAAGGGATTAAGGAAAAGAATAGTGAAGTATGTGGACAGTACGAATAACTGCCAGACGATTCTGCAGAGAAGTGAGCACTGATGGTGCAGGAGAGAGAGGGCAACGCTGCCAGAGCAAAGCACTTAGGCAGCAGAGAAGGAAGGAATCCAGCGCCTATACTGAGGGCCTTGCTATGGAAGCAGGGACCGTCCCCACAGTGACAGGGAGGAAGCCAGAGCAAGCCGACACTGGGAGGAGGGGGCGTTAGTGCAAGGAGCACAGAGCCCTTCTCTTCTGACTGCTTCTAGTTCCTCACTGAAATCAGAGGAAAGCAATTAGGAATGGGATCAGGGAGGGGACATCACAGTTCAGGAAAAGAGCGTTCTAGTGTGCAGAGGACAATGTACCAGGATTGCCAGCCTGGCTCAAGGCTTTCTAGTGAGTTGTGGACAACATCTGAAGCGAGAACTCAAGAAAGGATGTATGTTTTCTTCTAGCTACTCTCAGCTGCTCAAGGGCATACACCATGCAGGCAGGACGGAATTTAACCAATTACATTTTTCCAGCAACGGAGGGAGAGAAAAGTAAGGAATTATTGCATGGTACTAGAAAAATTAATTACTTATATGGCAAAATATTGAGTGGTCATTTCATGCCATAAATCAAAGTAAGTTCTAGATTAAGTAAAGTGATAAGTAAACTAGAATAAAAACTGGAAGAAATAACAAGCTAATATTTATTTCTTAGGATTGGGGGAGAATCTTCCATGCAGAAAAGCAATGGAAGATATCATTTAAAGATATTCATTTGATGCCCAAAAGGTATATGAAAAAAATGCTCAACATCACTCATCATCAGGGAAATGCAAATGAAAACCACAGTGAGATATCATCTCCTACCAGTCAGAATGACTATTATCAAAAAGACAAAGGATAAGTGTTGGTGAGGATGTGGAGAAAGGGAAACTCTTAGACACCATTGGTCGGACTGTAAATTAGCTCAGTCGTTACGGAAAACAGTATGGAGGTTCCCCCAAAAAACTAAAAACAGAACTACCACATGATTCAGCAATCCCACTACTGGATATTTACCCAAAGAAAAGAAAATCAGTATTTTGATGAGATACTTGCACTCTCATGTTTATTGCAGCACTGTTTACAAAAGCCAAGACATGGAATCAACTAAATGTCTATCGACAGATGAATGAATAAAAAAAATGTGTTATGTATACACAATGGAATATTTTTTTTTTTTTTTTTTTTTTTTTTGTGAGACGGAGTCTCGCTTTGTCGCCCAGACTGGAGTGCAGTGGCCGGATCTCAGCTCACTGCAAGCTCCGCCTCCCGGGTTCACGCCATTCTCCTGCCTCAGCCTCCCGAGTAGCTAGGACTACAGACGCCCGCCACCTCGCCCGGCTAGGTTTTTTTTTGTATTTTTTAGTAGAGACGGGGTTTCACCGTGTTAGCCAGGATGGTCTCGATCTCCTGACCTTGTAATCCGCCCGTCTCGGCCTCCCAAAGTGCTGGGATTACAGGCTTGAGCCACCGCGCCCGGCCTACACAATGGAATATTATTTAACCATAAGAAAGAACGAAATCCTATCATTTTCAGCAACATGGATGAGCCTGTAAAACATTAAGTGAAACAAGCTCGGCATAGAAAGACAAGTATTGCATATTCTCACTCATATATGGAAGCTAAAAAACTTGACTGCATAGAAGTAGAGTAGAATAGTGGTTACCAGAGGCTGGGAATGGAGAGTTAGCCAGATGTTGGTTAACAAATACAAAATTACAGAGAGGAGGAATAAGTTCCTGTGTTCTATAGCACTGCAAGGTGATTATAACAATTTATTGTATATTTTCAAATAGCTATAAAAGTGGATTTTGGCTGGGTGCGGTGGCTGATGCCTGTAATCCCAGCACTTTAGGAGGCCAAAGCAGGCAGATCACCTGAGGTTAGGACTTTGAGACCAGCCTGACCAATATGGTGAAACCCCGTCTCTACTAAAAATACAAAAATTAGCCGGGTGTGGTGGCAGGCGCCTGTAATCCCAGCTACTTGGGAGGCTGAGGCAGGAGAATCGCTTGAACCTAGGAGGCGGAGGCGGCGGTGAGCCAAGATCATGCCACTGCACTACTCCAGCCTGGGCGACAGAGTGAGACTCCCTCTCAAAAAAAAAAAAAAAAGGAAGAAAAAAGAGTGAATTTGGAATGTTCTCAATGCAAAGAAATATCTGAGGAGATAGATATGCTAATTATCCTGATTTAATCATTACACATTATATATATGTATCAAAACATTACACTGTACCACACAAATATGTACAATTATGTGTCCATTAAAATAATAAAAGCAAAACAATTATTTTGAATAAAAATACTAAACTTCTATGTGTAATAACCATGCAAAATTAAAAGGCAAATAATTAGTTGAAGATAAATATCTGCAATAAATATGACAATTTGAAGCCCTTAACATGTAACCCCTTCATTCAAATCTACAAGTACACTAAAACTGCAACTGAAAGCAGCCAGAAGCAAAAGCAGTTCACAACAACAATTAAAAGCTGATAAATCACATTTTACCTCCCGCCACACTTTAAACAATAATCAAATTTTATTTTTGCTATCATATTAGAAAAGACAAGAAAAAAATACTCAGGTGAGGGTCCGTGAAATAGATAAAGCCATAGACATTGCTAATGAAAGTATAAACTGGCACAACCCTTCTAAAAAGCTAATGATGAATACACACCAAGAGCCTTAAAAAACGTAATACCCTTAGGCTGTAAAAATTTGTGGCCCTATCTATGTACGTATAGAGATGCTTATTACAGCACGAGTTATGCGTGGCACAAAACTGCCAACTACCTAAATTTCCAACAATAGGAAAACAGTATGTTAATGACATGAGGCAATGCTCACTTCATAAGGGGAAAAAACAGGAAACAAAATTGTTTGTATGCTACTCCAATTTTGGATGATATGCCCATATATGTGTGTGTGTATATAAACCTCAAAATGTTTGAGGCTATTGCAGACTAGTGATTCAATTTTTTTCCCCAGCAGCTTTTTAAATTTTCCTGTCTTCAATGGGGATGCACTGCTTTTACAATTCTTTTTAAAATAAAGACTAGGGGCACTTTCATGTTAAAAAGATCTGGGCATTGTGGTTAAACATGAGCTGACCGGCAGAAAAGGTGACTAAAAAGCTATGGTCACAGTCACCATTTCTAGAAGACTATGGAGGTACAAACACCATTTTTATATGGGGTTTTGGAAAACTAGCAAGGGTCTAGACAAGAATGACCAGGAGAATAAAGCATTTATAATCAGCTACCACAAAAAGAAAAGGTCAAGGAACTACAACTCTGAAGCCTTAGAAGGCTGGTAAAGAGTGTGAACTGTCAACACACCAGATAAACACCTTCAGGACTGCTCATAAAGGGACTCTGCATGGGACGAGGTGCTAGATGACAGGACTTCAAAAGTTTTTCTAAGATACAATGGCTAGAAAGAAGTAGAAAAGGGGAGACGGCCAGAAATTCTTTTTCTGGTTTTTTTTTTTAGATAGAGTCTCACTCTGTGGCCTAGGCTGGAGGGCAGTGGCACCATCTTGGCTCTCTGCAACCTCTGCCATCCAGGTCCAAACAATTCTCCCGTCTCAGCCTATCGAGTAGCTGGGATTAGGCACCTGCCACCAAGCCTGGCTAATTTCTGTATTTTTAGTAGAGACAGGGTTTCACCATCTTGGTCAGGTTGGTCTCGAACTCCTGACCTCATGATCCACCCGTCTCGGCCTCTCAAAGCGCTGGGATTACAGGTGTGAGCCACTGAGACTAACTGTTTTTTGTTTTGTTTTGTTTTGTTTTGTTTTGTTTTTTGAGATGGAGTCTCACTCTGTCACCCAGGCTGGAGTGCAGTGGTGAGATCTTGGCTCACTGCAACCTCTGCCTTCCAGATTCAAGCAATTCTCCTGTCTCAGCCTCCAGAGTAGCTAGGACTACAGGAGCACACCACGTCTAATTTTTGTATTTTTAGTAGAGACGGGGTTTCACATGTTGGCCAGGCTGTTCTTGAACTCCTGACCTCAGGTGATCCACCTGCCTTGGCCCCACAAAGTGTTGGGATTACCGGTGTGAATTCCAGGCAGGAATTCTTTTAAAATTGTTACTCAGAAATCAGCATCTGCAACAGCGAAGACTTGACTTTAAGAATGGTGAAATATTTCCTGTCCAAGGGGGACACAGTGTGGAGAGGGGAACTAGAGGCCTTACTAGTCTTTCTTCTAATCCTGTCCTGAGCTTCAACCCACACTCCAAATTCAGAGGAATCTTTCCAGGGTTCTGCAGCATAAATCAGCATCTTTTTTTTAAACACTGGGTTTTTATTCTTAGAATAGCCCTGTATTAAAGGAGCACTACACAGCAAGACCAGGAAGCAGTTCAAATATAGTTAAAGATGAAATCTCAATATGCTACTTAGCTACTCAAAGTTTGTGGTATAGAAAGAGAATGGGGGAAAGGGACTGGATATAAATGCAATACATAAAGAACACTGAACACTATGGAAAGTGAAAACTTATCTAAATTCTATTGTTTACGTTTTAGCACTTCCCAGGAATGCCTGTGGTGAAGTGAGAAAAACACAGGTTTTGAGGGCAGACGTTCCTGGGTTTAAATCCCTGCTGAAATGCTTACTAGCTGGGTGACTTAAGTCTCAATTTTCTCATCTCACAAGGTTGTTTTGATACTATTTGAGATACTGTGGTACTAACTATGAAATGCAAAGTACAGAACTAACACATGTACATGCTTAATAAGTAGTTTATTTTCATTAATTTATTAGAGTTTTAATAGAAATAAGCAGAATTATACTTATATACCTATAATGGTATGACTGATATTCTGTGCCACATTAATTTTACTAAATGAAAGAAAAAATCCCAGTGGTTATTTATTTTTTGATCACATCATTGCAATTACTATGGTAATTCTTATTACATATACTTTCATTTTCAGTTAAAAAGAAACATAATTAGAACTGATGAGTCATCTTCATGTAGTAAGTTTCTGACTGTTCAATTCCATTTTATCTACTGTAGTATTTATTTCATAGGTTTTCAAAACCGGAATTAGAGACTTGAAAGTGAATAGCATATTAATAAGTATCCTATGCTACTCTTTTATACAAATACTTTAAATGATTCTTAAGAATACAAAAGGATATTAAATAGTTCAATATTATTCCAATGCTTCTTTAGTTATTTCCCCTATCTTAGGGTAAACACCATTTACTTTCTTAAATAAAAACAAATTAGCCAAATTTCAAATGCTTATTCATTTTATTTTATTTTAGAGACAGGGTCTGGCTCTGTTGCCCAGGCTGGAATGCAGTGGTGCCATCACAGCTAACTGCAGCCTCAAACTCCTGAGCCTCAAGTGATCCTTCCATCTCAGCCTCTCAAGTAGGTAGGGTTACAGGTGCATGCCACCATGCCTGGCTAATTTTTAAATTTTTTTGTAGAGTGAGGGGTCTCACTATGTTACCCTGGACTGGTCTCAAACTCCTGGCCTCAAGTGATCCTCCTGCCTCGGCCTTCCAAAGTGCTTGGATCACAGGTGTGAGTCACTGCTCCTACCCATATACTTATATTTATGCTGTGGGCATACCTTTACAGGGAAAGCCAGATGAATATTTAAGTAGGAGTGAGAGTTTCTCAGCTCAGGTGGCCACTTGACTTCTCCCCTGCTCTAGAAGTTTATAAAAACCATTAGGCAACTACCAATCTTCTGAGAAAAGTACAAACTCCATCACAGTTGCCTTCAACAGTTTAATCAGCAGAGCTACAAGATCCCGCAGGTTATTTTCCAGCACACACCTCTAAAAAGTTAAGACAAAATCATGAAGCTCCATATGAATTCAACAGACAAAGTCTCTTGTTAAGGCTGACAGCTAAAATTTTCAAAGATTTCTTTTTCTGGTTTTAAAATTTAGTTTTCTGAAAGGTATAATTTTTGCTGTCAAGTTATACCATGTTCCAGCAAAAAGGTAATGAAACAGAATAGCTGTATTTATTCATGATACCAAACATTTATGATAGACAACAAAACGTTGTCCTGATTCACTTCTAAAATACTCTATTGCTATAATTATTGATCACACAATGGTGGTATATAATCATTACAAGAAATTCCAGAAAGGTAACATTTAAGCATCACAACCCTAATCTCGATGCTCTATTTTTATGTAGTTTAATACCTAAACAAGCTGTTAAAGTGCCAATTCCCCTTCAATATAGAACACCCTCTTAGAGAATTTCAGGTCATGCCCAGTATGACAACTTAAGACAGGGTATTAGAATAAAGAATCAGCTATGTCTTAAAAATAAACTTAGAGCCAAAATTAACAGACAAGATATAAATATTTTGGTATTACAGGACATAGATACTAACTTTATTTAAACACTGTTACATAAATATAAACCAGCTTTTCAAAAAACGAATATACACTTACACATATTGATATATGAGAAAAAGATGAGCAGACACCTCAAAAATCTTGCGAGTATTTACCAACAAATCAAGATTTTCAAGGAGTAATTTCTTAGATGAATAATCTAAAATATTAAAATTGAATATCAGATTATACCTATATGCAGATCTTTACTCTTAGAACCATTATTTAAGATAATGACTGAGAGAAAATATGTCATTTATTATACATTCCCTATAAGTAAATACTTTAAAAATAAATGCCAAAGTTCTCACTGATAAGTTTTTTCCTGAACACTTAATAATGAATAAGAATGTGGTAAAACCTCTAGTTAGAATCTGATTCCATTAATGCTCCAATTTTGTAATTAATTCCTGAGCTATTATTTTACTTCTGTTAATATGTCTATCTAAGCTTGCAGGGTTTTGCTATGTAATACATATACAGGCATGAGAGAGGGACACAGAGAAGGAACTTTTCTCTTAAGTTTGGTATATCTTATTCAAATTTGTAATATTAAAAAGAGAATAACCTTGATAGATAGATGAGAGACAAGATGTACTTCTTTCATTTTTTTTTTTTTTTTTTTTCATTTAAAGAGAAGTGGCTTCTACCTGACAAGGCATGATGTATATAACATGCCATAATGTATGTCAACTTAAAGAAATAACAGGGAGTTTTTAAAAATGCAATAACTATTAAAAATTATTCCTTAGTTACCACTCCCATAGATAGTACAATAAATCACTCAACAAAAATGTACAGTTATTTTTTCAGGTATTTTTTGCAGTAAGTTCCACAACTTCAATATTCTTGCATATGTATTAATATATACATATAAATACCACACAGAGATGTCATTAAAACCACAGCCTCTGGCTAACAGATAAGGAATACACTGAAGTTCTATAAAATTAGGAAAAGAATATATATACATATATATATATTCAAACTGTATGAAGCATTATGACATTTTTCAAAATTCATATTGAAAATCAGCCATTTTAGATGAACCCATATAGTACCATAGAATGAATTTTAACTTTATACTATCTTTGGATATGGCTCACATATTTAACTCTATTAACTGCCTCTTGGAAAATGAACATACTAGCAGCAAGGGATGCTGAATTAGTTTTATGGAGCTGCACCGGACTTATTATTCAAATAGCTAGCATTATTTTCCTGGTATTTTATATTTATCTTTTAATACAAAGATTGCTTCATAAAAAATGTCAGTTTGATGAATTTCATCTGATGCACGAGAAGACACATATTATATATAAAAAAAAAAAAAAAGTCCTACATTTCCATGCAACATTTTAAACTTATTTTAGGTATTAATTTAGTAAGTATTCTTTGTTGGTAATAGAAAGAAACTAATAATACTCTCATAAAAATGTACTGCTTGTAGGTTCAAGTCAAGTTGGAATTTAATTTCTGCTTTTTAATAATATATCATCCGCATACCATGCAAATACAGCAATGTATCCAAGCATGGAAGTAAACATTTCAAAGGAAAGCAGCAAAGGAAAAAGAAAATAAAGTTCCACCTACAGGGATCCCTCTGACTATTTTCGGTGAGTCCTGGAGATGACATGGATGTGAGACCTGAATGAGTGAACAGAAGCTCAGTGCTGGTCAAGTGAAGCCTCCAGTTACCAGGCAGCTGCCCTCACGTGCATCTTCTGGGATGTAGAACAAAGGAAGTGAGGCTGAAGCCAGAAGGTTTTTCCAAAGAAATTGTAGTAAGCCTGTTAGTTTTTTTGCTGATGGCTGAAGCAGACATACATTGGAATCTACTGCCTCTGTAAAAGCAAAATGCAAGCTCTCAGGGGCTCTAGTGTGCAAGGATGTATGCACCGGTCTGGGACCATACCAAATGCAGCTCAAAATGGAGGGGAGGGAAGGCTGAAAATATACTAAATCCATATGAATTTATCATCTAGGTACAAAGATGCTTTAATAACACAGCAAAAGAGAGATGAAATCTTGCTGTTTGAAAGTAGTAACATAAAAGCTAAAAATATAGTTCATTTCATAACACACAAGGCATCTATAATTTTCCCCCACCTCATTTTTAAGGTAGCATTAGCCTAAAGGTTTTTTCAAATTCAGCAACACTAACCACTGGCTTGGAATGTGCTGTATATTTTTAATAAGTATCTTAAATCATCAATTCTAAGAGTTACAAACACTTCTCCACAATCTTTTCCTTTTTGAAAATAGTATGGTCTAAATCCCACTCCTGCTGGTCTCCTCTGAATCACAGCTCCATCAATCAGCCACTCTCACTGTATCTTCAACCTCTCCCTCTCTACAGCTTCTGTTCCTTTTTCATAGAAATATACTCAACTTCCTCCCAAAATTAAAAAAAAAAGAAATCCTTCCTTCAACCTAACTCTCTCCTCTAACTACTCTTCTTTCCTTCCTTTAGCCTTAGCTTTTGAAAGTATTGTCTCTACTTCCTCATTCACTTAAATATTTAATAAGCACCAAAGTGCCAAGCACCTGAGTCACACTGGTGAACAAGGCAGAACAGTCCACTCATTCCAATCCTCTGCCATCTGGTTTCCACCCCCAGCCCCCACATACACAAAACCATGCTGCTGAAAGTGTCCTCATTAAGATCACCCATTAGCTTCTCAGGCTACATTTCAGTTTGCCTTCTCCACAACAATACGACACTGCTTCTTGACATGTCCTTGAAATGTTCTCCTTATCACATTTTCCTCTTTGCCTCTTGGCCTCCACTATCAGCAACTAGCTCTCTTCTCGTGCCTGTCTGGTGAATGTTGCTGCTTCCTAGATTTCTATGCATTGTCATCTTTTTTTCATTCTGCCCTGTTGTTTGTGGGCAACGTCATTCAAATTCCGGGCTTCCATTCCCACCTACATGCTGGCTACTTTCAAATCTAGCTCAGATCTTTCTCCTGAGGTTCAACCGCCCACTGGACTCTTCCACCTATAACGTCTTACAGATACTGCAAATTTAACATGCTCCTGATGAAATTCACTCAATAAGAATGAAATATTAAGGAATAAATTTAAGATTTACATACTGAAAACAACAAAACTGCTTAGAAAAACTGAAGATGACTTAAATAAATAGGGATACATTCCATGTGCATGGATTGAAAGACTCACTATCATTAAGATGACAACTTTCCCCAAATTGACCTATACATGCAACACAACCATCCCTATTAAAGTCTCAGAAGGCTCTGTTCTTTGTTAGAATTGTCAAAATGATCCTAAAATTTATATGGAAAGACAAAGGACCTTAAATAGTCAAACCAATTTTAAAAAGAACTAGGTTGGAGGACTTAGACTTCCCAATTTCACATCTTACTACGAAGCTACAGTAGTCAAGGCAGTGTGGCACTGGCAATAAGGAACAGAGTGGAGAGTTCAGAAAAAAATTCTTACATTATGGTCACTGGTTTCCCACAAAGGTGCCAAAGCAATTCAATGGGGAAAGGAAGCTCTTTTCAAAAAATAGTTCTGAGGCTTGTGAGGGAGACTTGGGGCCTGTGCAGCCTAGAGCCCCAAGGTCTGCCAAAAAATGGTTCTGAGACAACTGAACATCGATGTGTAAAAAAATGAAGGTGGACTTTCAACTCACACGAACACAAGGCTTAACTGAAAATGGATCATAGACCTAAACATAAGAGCTAACTAGTGATGTCGGGGATGAGGAGAAACTGCAGTCCTCACACACTGCTGACAGGAACGTAAAATGGTACAGCCATTCTAGAAAACAGTTCAGCAGTTTCTCAAAGAGTTAAACACAAAGTTGTCATATAATCCATATATTCTACTCTTAGCTATATACCCAAGATAAATAAAAATGTATGTCAACACAAAGACTTGCATAAGAAAGTTGATGGCAGCATTATTCAAAATAGGCAAAACCTGGAAACAATCCAAATGTCCATCAGCTGGTGAGTGGATAAACAAAATGGGGTCTATTCATACAATGAAGTATTAATTCAGCAATAAAAAGGAACAATACAGTGATTTTTTATTCTACTCAGTTTCTTGAATCTGTGTCTTTCTCTCCATTCTAGCAATGCCTTAATTCAAATCTAATAGTTTCCCAACTGATCTCTTTTAATCTAGACCTGCTCTTCTCTAACCTATCTCCTATATGATTCCAGAAAACTTGCTTTAAAATGCAAATCTGATCCTTCTACCCTGATTGAAACCCTCGGGGATAACCCACTCCCTGTCCGGACTCTATCAGCTACAACAATAACCTCTGAGCTCTTTTTGATCATGCACTCCTGACATAGGCATGAATTCCTGTTCTATTACATAATATACAGAAAACTGACATTTAAAAGGATGACATAAAAAAACAAAAAGTTTCAGTTTCCTCTCTTCTCCTCATGCTTTGCAAGCCCACATTCCTCTTTGAAGACCACTGGCCTGGAGGGAAATGTCCAAGTTCCTGTGCACGGCACTCAAGGTTGGGTACCAGTTGTTCCTTGCCTCTCTGTCCAACTTCATCCCTCATCACTTCACCCCACACACCATATGCTTCAGCCAGGCAAATTATTTGTGGTTCCTTCAATAAATAAGAAATTAAATTTTAACTTGTATTCTTGAAATAAACGTATCTGCATCTTTACAATTGTTCTTTCCTCTTCCTGAAATGTCTTTATTATCCTTTCCAGCCCAGCGAGTCATCATTCAGATCAAGTGTAATGACCGCTCTCTGGTTGATTACTCCCACCTTAGCGTAGTTATTTCTATTATTTCTATATTGTATTCAAATTATACATTTGCCTTTCTAACCTATAAGCTTTGCCACAGTCCTTTAGCTCCTTGAGGACAGAGGACAGTAATATCATCCAACCTGAGTCACTTAAATATTGCTAAATGGCAGCTGAATAGTTTGGTCTCACATGTTAAGCAAATTCTTTAAGTGAACCAACAAACTCTACTGAAGTTTACCATCTAGCATCATCATCCCTATCTGTAACATGCTAAGGGCTGCCAAGCCAGTAACATGCATAAGCCACATCCATGAGTCATCCAAACAAGTGAGACTCCTCAAAGACTCAGAATTCTCCAAGTCAGATGACTTGGTGCCTTCTATTTTTACTCAAATTTAGCCATCATCATCACTGGGAATTGCTCCCCTTCTAAGATTTCAAACTGAAATCTCTTCTTTGACCACAAGATCCACCTCAACCACTAAAAGTGTCCTCCCCCTTTATGGGGTACCTCACCTGTACCATTCAGCCTGCTTATTCTCATGGTCTGGTCAGGCCTCTCCTCTCCAGTGTGAACTCCACAGCCAATCATTTCAATCACAGTCTCATTAGCATCCATGGTTACCATGCCTGCTGGTCCATCTTACATGTCTTCCCATTTCCAACTCTGTGTTAGCCAAAGCATATTTGTTTTGCTTTTTTATTTCTGCTTCTGAACCTAGCCCTGAAAATTCAGATTATCAATCCTTATGTGAATTCTCAAAAAATTCTTTCATCCTTCCATGTCAACTTTTCCCTATATTATCAGCCATCCTTTCCTTCTCTAAGGTCTTAGGAAAAGAGATGTCCCTGGACACTCTCCAAGGATAACCTATCTGGATACCGTTTCCTTCCATTTTCTTTAATATCATAATGACTCCTTCAATATCTTCAGCTATACCTCCCCTGACTTTGACCCGGATCCTATCTCGTTACATTTTCATTTTTTTCTATCCATTCATGATTGAACAATTAGTTCATGTCACCTTTATTTCCTAACTACTCATACATTTCTTTTTTTGGAGATAGAGTCTTGCTCTGTTGCCAAGGCTGAAGTGCAGTGGCACAATCTCAGCTAACTGCAGCCTCTGCCTCCCAGGTTCAAGCAAGTCTCATGTCCCAGCCTCCCAAGTAGCTGGGACTACAGGCACCCGCCACCACGCTGGGCTAATTTTTTTGTATTTTTAGCAGACATGGGGTTTCACCATGCTGGCCAGGCCGTTCTCGAATGCCTGACCTCAAGTGATCTGCCTGCCTCAGCCTTCCAAAGTTCTAGGATTACAGGTGTGAGCCACCATGCCTGGCCTATTCATACACTTCTGATTTTCAATTCGGATTCACCCTTTATAGACAGCTCTTTCAGGTCACCAATGACCTGTTCATTGTCAAATCCAATAGGCTCTCCCCATTCGGCTCAACTTCTCTGCATTACTTGTATCACGGATAACCACTTTTCCTCCTTTAAACTCTCTCCTCTGCAGTTTTGTTTTTGTTTTTCTGTTTTTTGTCACTACATTGCCTTGGTCTTCCTGTTTCTCTGACCACTCTGGTTCTGCCTCTTCCACTGGCTCTGCTTTCCAGAACTAAGTCTTCAATGTCTTATGTCTTTAAAGACTATGAAAGCTTATGTACTCTACATGTGCTTACAATAATGGAATGCCTTCCCCACTAAAAATATAAAATAAGGACTTTTATGATCCTAACCTCCTTTTTCTGCTATCTAATATTTGAGTGACTGTCACTAAAAAGTTTAAATGAATGCAGTATTTGGGGAACACAGAAAAATTTCCGACTGCCAATATTAAGACAAGAACAACAACTGGTTTTAATAATCTTGTAGAGATTGGCCATATGCAGCAGAAGTAAGGTGAACACAACTCATCAACCTCTATGGAGTATAGAAGGGAGAATCCAGAACTTGGTGGATGATATTAATGTACATTACTAATTTTGAAGGTTACTAATTTTGTATTTTGGTTCTCAAAAGTTAGTTTTCCCCCAATTTAGAAAAGAGCTTCTAAATATAAGTTGAATAAAGCAATTGGAGGAAGTAATACCTTTTATTTTCCTGCAACCTGAAAAGGAAAAAGGCAATATTCAAAAAATAATAAATTGCCAGAGTATGTTCAAACAAATTTTTAAATGTTTTTTCCTTCACTAATACTTTGGAAGAGCTATTACATTTCTGTTTTTCTTGTTATAGGGTTCCTTTTTTTTTTTTTTTTTTGAGACAGGAGTCTCATTCTGTGGCTCAGGCTAGAGTGCAGTGGTGTGATCTTGGCTCACTACAACCTCCGCCTCCCGAATTCAAGTGATTCTCCTGCCTCAGCCTCCTGAGTAGCTGGGTGTACCAACATGCCTGGCTAGTTTTTTAATTTTTAGTAGAGATGGGGTTTCACCACGTTGGCCAGGCTGGTCTTGAACTCCTGACCTCAGGTGATCCACCCCCCTCGGCCTCCCAAAGGAGGCCCTTCCAAAGTGCTGGGATTACAGGCGTGAGCCACCATGCCCAGGCCTCGTTTTTAAAATATTAGCAAAACACTCAAGAAGAAACAATTCTGAATGAACACTGATACTAAAAATCTTGATATAATGCAACATTCAATTTAGGGTTTGTTCACATTTGAGATCTTTAATTGGCCTGTGGGTGGATTTGATGTGCTGTTAATTGTACATAATTAGGAATGTGTGTATAAACAAGATATTTCAGCTTAAACTGAATTTTTCTATCGGGTAATATGCAACACTACCTAACCTTTTGCAAACTGCTATTCTCTTCTTTTTCTCTGAATATTGTCATACTAAAAAAAGTATGCCTCAGCACTGAGATGCAAGTAAAACTGACATTTTACATAATCTGTGTCCCTGCCCTGTCTATTAATATTAACTTGATTGTTTTTTTCATCTCTTACCGTTACATAAGATACTAAACTAGTCAACCAAAAGAAAAGAATGAGAAGGAAAAGGCATTTTATAAGGATTTCAAATCTTATTTTAAAGCACTGATTTAAAAAAAAAAAAAGTATACAAGTAGTGGTTTACAAATCGAATTAAGAACAATGACAGCCATGACAACACATTATATCACATGGTCATTTAACATTACCTTCAACAAACTAGCCAGGAGCTTAATCATTTACTACAGCTGTAGTAGGTCAAACAGAAATCCAGCCAAACAAGGCTGTTCAATAATAACTATAGGAGGAATATGCCTTTATACCTTTTATCTTGAGAATTTGTCATTTTTTCTAAATTCAAACAGATCAGACATATCAACAATTCAACCACAAACGATATACTTGGAGATCTTTAACCATTCAGTAAATCTAAAGGACAATGCTGGTTTATATGTGAAGTATAATAAGCATAAAACAACTAAATCAGAAGTGATTTCAAAAAGTTTTCTCAGTTATTGAAATGAGTCTCTCGAGGATAGGATTTCTAGTACTTAATTGCTCATGAGTAATTAATTGAAAAATGGCAAACTGGAAGAATCTTGAGCTGCTGGAAAGTTTGTATTTTTTTCTGTTTTTCACTAGCCTTTCTCTATGACCAGTAACGGTCAATATAACCAAGAATCATTCTCTAGTGTTCCTCCTTCAGGCATTCCCTAAACGTAAAAAGTAATGCTGGGTGCTTCTGGAATCTCAGAATATATTTCATCTGAGCCTCTAATTTTACAGATGGAAAGAGAAACTGTGCCTGAAAAGCTAAGAGACTCATCCAAAGTCACAAGACAGCAGCAGAGCGGGACCCAGCACCGAAGACCTCTCAGGAGGTTCGAGTGACTGCAAGGTCAATTGCAGGGGCACCTCTTGATTTTTGTCACCATTCCCTTTCCACGTGGCCCAGACTGCACAAGAGAAACCAGAATCTTCTTAAACTATGATTCTCAATAACCTCAAAGTTAGCACTGCACCTTCCTAACATACCATTTATAAAGGTCATTAGCAGAAACTCTCACTTGGTATATGTGCTAAAGAGAATATCAAAACCACTTGTGATTAAACAAAACCTACAAAAACAGTATTAAGTTTTACTTTTTTGTGTAAACTGATTTAAAAATAATGAGTTCCCGGATCATTATCAAGAGAGAACATCTGACACCAATTAACTCTCAACTACTTTAAAGTGAAGAATTAACACAAAATTACCTTTGAAGGTTTCAAGTTCCTTCCTGTAGGGAAAAAAAAAAAAAAGACAAGACAATGCAAATTTAAAATCTCTTCCCAATGAAAACTGTTCTTCCATCATAATAAAAATTTATGTACTTTAAATGCTCACAGTGGTATTTCTGGATCTTCACATATCAATTATACTTTACTGAAATGACCAGTACAATGAGCCTAAACCAACTATTTTCAGTTATTTCTGCTATTTTCTATTAATGGCTCAAAAAAGTTCCACCAGAATCCAAATAATAATCTAAACAATTTCATCTAAACAATAAAACAATTATAACAACACAGCATTTTAATCCCAGCTATGAACCATCTCATATATGTAAGAATCAGTTTATAAAATGCACTTAACACCATTTTTCCTTGATGGATAAATATTCCATACTGGATTTTTGAGATCATTAGTTAAAAATTATCCAAAATAGGCCAGGCGCAGTGGCTCAAGCCTGTAATTCCAGCACTTTGGGAGGCCGAGACGGGCGGATCATGAGGTCAGGAGATCGAGACCATCCTGGCTAACACGGTGAAACCCCGTCTCTACTAAAAAAATACAAAAAAACTAGCCGGGCGTGGTGGCGGCGCCTGTAGTCCCAGCTACTCAGGAGGCTGAGGCAGGAGAATGGCGTGAACCCGGGAGGCGGAGCTTGCAGTGAGCCGAGATCCCGCCACTGCACTCCAGCCTGGGCGACAGAGCAAGACTCCGTCTCAAAAAAAAAAAAAAAAAAATTATCCAAAATAGAAGCATTGTTTTCCCTTTCAACAGCAAAGGAAAAAAGGGAGAAAGCGCATATCAAAGGATTGAGGTGCACAGCTCATTCTGCCACAAAGGGCCAAGCCTCCAGGAATCTCCTGGTTTATTATTCTGTTAATGTTAAGTAAGGATGCCAAAACACAAAGGTTCCTGGGAAATGTACAGTGGGGAAAATATATATTAAAATAAACATTTGGTGACAAAGAAAGCAAAGCAAGTTGTTTTGAGGCTTTCCCTCACAATTTTGTAGTTATGTATTTTTTTCCTCATTATCAGTGCTAATGAGTAATTCTGAGGAAATAAAGGCTTGTTTTCCCACTTAAAATATGAGACATTTATTTTTTATTTGCACTCTAGAGTTTTACTAAAAATCTAGAGATGTTTTGAATTCTTAAATCAATTTTCTACACACCTAATTACAATACCCCTCATGTTCCAAAATAGCTGACTACATTCAACAGCTGCTAGAAAGGACTGGCAAGCTGCCTACTGAAAGGCCAAGTAGCTAATGTTCTTGCAACAGCCAAAGTGAAGGTTCTTAAATCAGATGGTCATCCCACTCCTTTTTTCCCTAACAATATCTACTTATAATAATTATCCAGCACCATGGTTCAAGAACTATGCAAGAATTTTCAATCCCATTTTTTCAAAAACCTGTGTGGCCGGGCACGGTGGCTCACGCCTGTAATCCCAGCACTTTGGGAGGCCGAGGTGGGCGGATCACCCGAGGTCAGGAGTTCGAGATCAGCCTGGCCAACACAGTGAAACCCCATCTCTACCAAAAATACAAAAAAATTAGCCAGGCATGGTGGCAGGCACCTGTAATCCCAGCTACTAGGGAGGCTGAGGCAGGAGAATCGCTTGAACCTGGGAGGCACAGTTTGCAATGAGCCAAGAAGGCGCCACTGCACTCCAGCCTGGGTAACAGAGCGAGACTCTGTCTCCAAAAAAAAAAAAAAAAGAAAACCCTGGGTTAATTGTTTCCCTTCAGTCAATAAAATAATCAACTTCATTCTTAAAAGCTTAACTAGGTACAAGCTACATATGCCTAAAATCTGCTTTATACCCCAATAATAAAAACCAGAATACAACAGGAAGGCAACATGTATCATAAGAGGATCTCAAAAAGATATCTTCAATCTACTTCTTAGTGA